CGGCGGAGCGGGCAGGAGAGGGCAGTGGGTGCTGCCTGTGCTCAGCGCCCTCGCTTTTAGCAACCTGCAAGGGAACATGAGTGAAGTGCAAGATCTGATGTGTCAGAGCCTTTTACAGGCGTGCAAAGGGGCGTTTGGGGTTTCGTCATGCGTCATGCTTGCTTTCCATGCAGAAGAGGCTCCTGCCTCGGCGTAGTTTTAGAACACGGGAGTGTACTGACATGCCCCAGAGGGTGAAAGGAACGTAACAGAGTGCGGTAACGTACATAAAGGCATGAGAACCGTGTCAAAATACCTCAAATAAATCTTAGTTGTAGGCCTCTGAGCAAGACAGGTACTCCAGCTTTCTCTGTCCTTAAGAGGGCAGCATTACGATACAATGGAGCATCCCTGCAAGTTAACTTTGAAACGTTGTCACCTTTGTCTATTTTACTTTCCTTAAACTTCGATTTTATTTTCCTAAGGCTGTGTAAGTTGACTTTGTCACTTGTGTTTTGTCCCAACAATGCAGTTGCAGCCATTTGCCTATTGAGGCAGAGGTTATAAGAGTTTAGTTAAAAAAAGGAAAGGGCCCCTCATATTGGTACGGAAGAGTATGCAATAGCAATATGTGAAATTAAAACAAGAAATTGAACAATCATACGGGATTTTCATTTTAGGTGAGTAACACCTTCATAAACAAAAGTAAGCTCAGAACATTCTGATTTTCTCTGTTTTAAAAACAAATGAAAATACTTTTGGAACAGAATAAGTCAAACTAAAGGTGTTGGGGTTTTTTTAGCACACTGGTAAGAGCTAGAACCTCGGGTTTGCACTTGATTTAGCTTTTAACCCATGAAGTCATTCAATGTGCAGGTAGAGGAGTGCCTCACAGCCCAGCATCCCCATCCTGCGCTGACAGAGTACCTCCATCCCCACTGAAACATCATGCCTGCTCTCCCTGCTGGGATAGCTCCCTGTTCTTCACAGAGCAAAGTCCCCATCTGAGAATGGTTACTTCCATCCCGACTGACAGGAGGACAGAGCCCACATCTCAGGCTCACCCGACTGGCCTGTCTCAAGGACCTTTGCATACACATCTCCTGAGAGCTTCCCTTACAGAATAGAATCATAGAATTGTTTAGGTTGGAAAAGACCTTTACTAATGTCCAACCTAAACCTGCCCTGGTGCAACCTGAGGCCATTTCCCCTCATCCTATTGCCCATTACCTGGGAGAAGAGACCAACACCCACCTTGCTACAGCCTCCTGTCAGGCAGCTGTAGAGGGTGATAAGGTCTCCCCTCAGCCTCCTTTTCTCCAGACTTAACAACCCCAGCTCCCTCAGCCACTCCTTGTAAGACTTATGCTCCAGACCCCTCGTCAGCTTTGTTGCCCTTCTCTGGACATGTTCCAGCAATGCAACGTCTTTCTTGTAGTGAGGGGCCCAAAACTGAACCCAGTATTCGAGGTGCAGCCTCACGAGTGCCGAGTACAGGGGAACAGCCATTTCCCTGCTCCTGCTGGCCACACTATTCCTGATACAAGCCAGGATGCCATTGGCCTTTTTAGCCACCTGGGCACACTGCTGGCTTCTATTCAGCCGGCTGTCGACCAGCACCCCCAGGTCCCTGTCTGCTGGGCAGCTTTCCAGCCACTCTTCCCCAAGCTTGTAGCTCTGCATGGGGTTGTTGTGATCCTCCCGCAGCCTGGGGTAGCCCCCAGACAAACACTTCTGTTGCTCTGACTTCAGTCCCATCTCAGGTAGACCCATGTATTAGCCCTTTTGGTGCTGCCACAGCACACAACCACCCTTCACAACTCCTGAAAAGCCACCACACAGCTCCCATCCTACAGGCTGTTCCTGACCTGAATCCTGACCAGCACCACTACCCTTCTGCTTCCTCTCTCACGTGTGGATCAATAGTCAGATTCAAATGCAATGTGGTTGTTTTGGCATAAAGATGCTGTGCCTATTGAAACACAAAGGGGCCAGGGAGCATAAAGCTAGCTTCATCCCTGACCCTGCTATCACAGCTTGAAAGAAAAACTAATAGTTGGTTGTAGTCACACAGGTACAACATACATTTCTGGGATTTTGCATGAAACTGTACTTCCAATGGGATCCTTCACATGTTTAAAGTTAAACAGGATTGCAGGGTTAGGCTCTATGGTTTTAGGTTTAGGATGCTTAGAAAGAAACACTTTTGTTTAGGAACCATCAGAGAGATAAGCTAAGAATATACAGAACCAGGCCTCTGACTTATCACAGAGTGATGCTTTAGTAGACATAGATCTAACAACACTTAATTCATTTCAAGGATGACCTGGTTCTCTATGAGAGAAGCTGTCAAGAATATATTTGTTCTGATAAACAGTCACTAGCGCTTACTATTTCTTTAGCAGACCTTTAAAAGTTTAGCAAAATACTGTGTAGTCTTCAAGGCATCCCTCTGTGACACACGGGGTGCCTTGTTACTAGGTAGAGAAGCCTTTGGCTATTCATCAGGATTTAAGATTTGATTAAATTCTAGCAATATCAGAAGTTTTACTGTTTATTGGCTTGTTTAGTAGCTTTTTAGATGGCACAAAATACGGACACAGGAACTTTTCCAGTAGAATCGCTCACACACAATTTATAGCATCCTGCTGGGAGTGGGACATCCGTTTACATCTGGCATCTCAGTACTGTATTGGTTACGTTCTCTGTCTCACCAGCATAGAAATGAGACTCATGCTGCTAAAGAGGCAAGACTCCCAAAACTGAACCCAAGAGTTCATTAAAAGGTTAAACAGACAGTAATCCACCAGGTGCTCAGAACCTCTCAAAAGCCTGCTTATTGTCCTTATCGCCTCTCTCAGATCTTGTAATCTAACTCAGGCTGTTCCCACGCAACATGAAAGAAGGAAATGAAAATCAATGATTTTGTCAGAGTGATTAATGGCCAAGACTGATTGTTGGACCCTTAGTGAGTATATATTTTAAAATTCTGAATACTTGTCTAAAGGTACTTTGAAAGATTTTTCTTTTTGAGCTGGATGGGTTCTACATTTAGTCAAAAGAAATTGTACTGGAAATATGGAGTTTTTGGGAAGCTATACTTCCAAAGTAGACCTGTATGTATTGTATGGCAAGAGAACTGTGCAGTTTCTATGATCTATGAGACACTGCCTTATTTCTTATATGTTTTTTTTTTGAACATACCATTGTTTTATTTTTATAATTTTAAGTGTAAAATCCAGAGTAGAACTCCTAAGTTCTTGGTCCTCCTTTCCCATTCATCCATGGTGTATTCATGTGCAGATAACTGAATCGTTTATGGCTTTGATTTCTTCATGAGTAAAATTGGAATACGTCTAATTCAGACATTCTGAGGATTTCTGAGTTGTTCAAGTAGGTTATAGGCTTGCATTTGAAGCCTGACACTTACTAATGATTGCACAAAAGACAAATGTGATTTATTTCAATCCACAGTCTGCACAGAAGAACAGAGCTATTGAACAGCCAGTGGGAAATGCCACAACTATAAAACTACAGACTTGAAGATAACAGAACAAGGAAAGACCTAAAGACAGTAATCTTCTTGCCCTGGGGCAGGATCAATCTGACTGCAAACATCCCTAATAGTCAGTTGTCTAATTTCTTCTTAAAAAGGACCAAAAAGCCACTGAGGCAATTTCTTCCAGTGTTAACAGTCCTTACACACAGAACATTCTGAGTTTTCTTACCCCCTCCAAAAAAAAAGTCTCTCTTGGTCTAATGCATCTTTTTTTGTCTTTCGTCCTGTCCTATTCCTAACAGATGTGAGAACCACGTCATTGTGCACCAGCCTTCTTGTCTGTTTGAAGGCTGCTACTATATATTTTCCCACAGATTCTTTTTGTTTAGTTATTCAAGGTCCTTCCTTAAAGGATGAGTGGTTTTGAGCCCGCTTATCTTTAATTCTCAATCTGGATGGTATTCATTCATCACTCATTCATTATCAAATTGGTCCATATATTTTTTTCCCTGGAATACAGGATCAAAATCTGGACACGTTGCTCCAGTTTTGGCCTTACGAGGTCTGAGTACAGAAATAATGAACCCACAGTAATGTAACACAGCAATCTGTGCTTTCAAAGTAACCACAAGTTACTTAATTCATTACAATCATCACCATTATAGGATTTTCAAGATCAAATTCTATCCTGTCAATATGATGAGTAAAGAGATCAGTTTGTTTTTCTTCCTGAAATTACAAGTTATCTTTCTTAAGGAGTGCTTGATCTTCTATTTAAGAAATACTTTCTTCTGTATGTGTTCATTGATGAGTATACTGGGCACTGAGAGTGATGTTCTTTGGACCTGCAATAATAAAATGCTAATAGTAATGCTTATAAATCTCAAATATAAGATTTTGTTTTGAATATAAATTGCATTTGATATTTACTGTTCTCCTTCTGCCTCTAGAGGGTGTCTAGTAATGATCTGACGAAAGGATAAAAAAAAAGTATGCTGGATTTTGATAAGAAGGAAGTGATCTGGAAGAATATATTCTAAAACTCTAAGTATATACTAAGCCTCAAGAAGATTTCATATTTTCATTGCTGATGTAACTTTTTAAAGATCTGGACTCTGTTTCTACATAAGTCTGTGAAGAAGGTTGCGGCCACCTCTTCTATTTTTAGGAAAACAGTATGTTTGTGTTTACCTATGTTGTTGTGTTGAGCCTGACGCTGTTCTTGGGGAGAGTGGGAATTCTGATAAGGTTTAAAGCCGCAGAAACAAAGACAAAAGAATATTAATTTGGAAAGATTTTGTCAGAGAAGGAGAGCAAATTATTTTGTCTACAACAACAGAAACCTGTGCTCGCAAGTGCTCACTGAAAGCAAGTATCACTAAAGGTGCTGACTTCCTACCCCCTGTCCTTACATTTATAAAGACCATGTCTTGCATGTTGAGAAATGTTCTTTGTACAGCATCTCACTGCATACCAGTGAAAGACAAATACAGCAGAAAGAAAACAGGAGGTAGGAAACTATATAGAAAACACACTATATAGAAAATACACAAGGAGGAGGGACACCTAGTCTGGAAGGCAGATGAGCAGTGCACAGGGTTCATGTAAACGATGTTCATGACTATAGACCCAGCCCTTTTCCTACAGAGGGATTTTAGCTGTATAAAATCC